CCGGTTCATTCCCCAGCCGCCAGCGAGGGTCCTACAAACAAACAAACAAACAAACAAACAAAATGCACCTTCAACAGAGCAAATTACAGATTATTAAAATGTAAACTTAAATAATGGGGGGCCTCCCCAGTGGCGCAGCGGTTGAGCGCTGGGTTGCAAAGCTGCCCGCAGCCTCTGCAGCGCCGGTTCTATCCCCAGCTGCCAGGTGAGGGTCCCACATGGTGCACAGACCTCTCCTGCTGCGCCCGCTGCTCCCCTCAGCAGTGTATTTCGTCACTCTGCCTGTTCTGTTCCCCGCTCTGGCTCTGGTGAATTCTCTCACCCTCCTGCACTTCTGACTGTACCCAGTGTTTGTATAAATAAATTAAATAAATCTTAAAAAAAAAAGTTTAAAAAAAAATAAATAAGCTTAAATAATGGAACCATAAATTATGAAAGCAAATAATTTTAAGGTAAGACAGGCTTTTCTACATAAGATATTAAATTCCACAATAATTCAATGTGAATTGGTTTTTACTGAATATAGAATGTCAAAGAAATGTATATGCATACATTTTAAAAAGAAATTTGACAATTCTTGTCAAACCAGGAAATAGAAGGTAAGAGCTATGGTTTATCTTATGTAGCTGAGTATTTACTTTCTAACTTGAATATCTAATTATAAGATAGTTGGCTTTTTATGCACAATTTTCATATGAAGTCGGAATTTTCAAAGGTCGTGTTTTAACTTTGGTTAATACATTAATAGGAAATGCCTTTAACAAAACTTAGTGTAGGAAAAGTTTAAGACAGTTGGAAATAAAACCCAGAAAGCAAGATTAATGTCAGCAATTGTACATGAATTCTAGTTGATAGGCCATAAACTATGATAAAATTGGTGGGATAAGGGAGTGCAAAAAGAATTTGCTTCAGGTTAAAAAAAATACACATCTTTGTAGAAAAAATTAAGAAAACTCAGAAGAACAAAAGTAAATGAAAAGAAATTAGACCATTGTTCATTACATTTTTGGTGGTAATCCTAGAATTTTTTTGTACTTATATTTAAAAAATGAATCCTGTAACAGGTTTAATAAAGAGATTCTTTTTAAACTACAAAAAAAAAAAAAACCTGGAAGCCAGTTCAAAAATGATTAATTTGACTATGCAAATTTTTAAAACACTTCAACATGCAAAAATTACCACAAAGAAAGTAAAAATACAAGTGGGGGCTAAATTTGTAAGGTTAATTTTCTTACACTATAAAGAATATATGCAAGAGGGCCTCCCCTGGTGGCGCAGTGGTTGAGCGCTGGGCTGCGAGGCTGCCCGCAGCCTCTGCAGCACAGGTTCGATCCCCGGCCATCGGTGAGGGTCCCACATGGCGCATAGACCTCTCCTGCCGCGCCCGCTGCTCCCCTCAGCAGTGTGTTTCATTGGTCTGTCTATTCTGTTCCCTGCTCTGGCTCTGGTGAATTCTCTCACCCTCCCGCGCTTCTGACTGTGCCCAGTGCTTGTATAAGTAAATAAATAAAAATCTTTTAAAAAAAAAAGAATATATACAAGAGTTAATCAAACCAACAAAAATACTGGGCAAAGAATATAAACAGGAAAAGATATTAAAAGACTTTTAAATTGACAATATGATAATCACTCTCAAAATAAGTGAAATGCAAATCAAAACTACAAGATGCTATTTTTTTCACTGAGTAGATGAGCCAAAATCAAAAAGTTATGTAAGACAATGTACGAAGCAAGGGTATGGGGAGAAATACATTTTCAGAAATACATTCTTATCCCTGGAGGGTTAGGGAAATCAGGATCAATTCTAATTTTTGGAGTACTCCTACACTTAGGCAAATGGCATATTCTTTTTTTTTTTTAATTTTTTTATTTATTTTTGCAGAGAAGAACTGGGGTGTAGACCAGAGGTGCACAGGGTAAGAGGATTCACCAGAGACAGAATGGGGAGCAGAACAGACAGATTTACTGATATACATTGCTGAGGGGAGCAGCAGCCAAGACAGGAGAGGTCTGCTGTGCCATATGTGGGTCATGAGGCCATAGCAGTGATAAAGCTGAGACTTAACCCCAAGGCCACTATGGAGGTCTCAGCAAATGGCATTTTCTAAGACTGTTCATTACAGTCTTGTTAATGAGAACAAAATATTGGAAATTACTTAATGTTTATCAAAAAACTGTGTTTAAATAATACCATAACTTGGGCCTCCCTGGTGGCACAGTGGTTGAGTGCTAGGTTGCGAAGCTACCCACAGCCTCTCCAATGCCGGTTCGATCCCCGGCCCCAGCTGCCAGGGAGGGTCCCACAGGGCGCACAGACCTCTCCTGCTGCCCGCTGCTCCCCTCAGCAGTGTACTTCGTCAGTCTGCCTGCTCTGCTCCCCGCTCTGACTCTGGTGAATTCTCTCGCCCTCCCACGCTTCTGACTGTACCCAGTGCTTGTATAAATAAAAAATAAATCTTAAAAAAAAAAATCGCTCTCAAGTGGCTGCAGACGATAAGCGGCTTGGGACCCGCGCTGCACCAGTCCTTTGGAAAAGAAAGGAGGCGGAGAGGCAGCAAAGAATGTGGATCACGAGGTTAACCTCTTTGGAGGAAATTCACTTGGGTTCAAAAAATGCTGATGGAAAGTTAAGCGTGAAATTTGGGGTTCTCTTCCGAGATGACAAACTGTGCCAACCTCTTTGAAGCATTGGTTGGAACTCTCAAAGCTGCAAAACGAAGGAAGATCGTCACATACCAAGGAGAGCTACTTTTGCAAGCCGTTCATGATGATGTTGACATTGTATTGCTGCAGATTAATGTGGTTTGCATATCTTTGTCATTATTTTTTGTTTCTGGTAAACTGGAATATGAAGTCAAAGGACAAACACAGGAGCATACTTAATGTATTTTTATAGGACTTTGTAAACAAAGGAGGCTCGTATTTTAGAATTCTGTCCTCTTTTGTATCTTAAAAATTTATGTATTACACTGTAAAATAAATAAGACCTATTATTTTTCTCAGGAATCTGGTTGGAAAATGTAGGCAATGTGGTTTTTATAGTGGGGTGGGAAATGTTTGCTTCATTAATCATTCTTCTACAGATTATTGACATTCCACGAAAGCAAGAAGCAAACTAAAGACCAGTTTCCCTGGAATATTAAATGTTTATGTAATAAAAGTATATAACTGTCTTAAAAAACAAAACAAAAAAATCGCTGATTTAAAAAAAAAAAAAAACAATATGCAGTGGAAAAGTCAAATGTATTATAAAGTAAAATACATTGATACCTTCAATGATTCCTAATCACCCTTAATTGCCCTTTAACCTCTAAACTCAAACTCAGAGAATACATGAAGTAAAACCCAACAAAGCATCCTGGTCACTTCTAAACCTTGCCTCAGGCCTTGCCCATTTGGACTAAATCCACTTGGAGCTAAGCCAATACACATGTTAAGTATAGGGGTTCATATTTGGTGCATGCGTTTCCCATCCAAGAAACACACTTAATTAATCCTTTTGATGAGCACTGCTTGCCCAGCACAATTATCCCTTTCTTTACTAATAGTAAAAACTCTCTCTTTTATTTGGGGTGGCCAAGTACCCAGCTAATAGAAAAGCCATATAAGCAGGACACGTGCAGAAGAAGAGCTTTACAAGAAAGATGTTTCCTTGGGTAGAAAGTGTCTTTTACTGTTGCCATTCCCCTTTCTTTGGACTTGGGTTGTGGAGATGATGGCTGGAGCTACAGTAGCCATTCTGTGACCTTGCACTGGAAGGAAAGTGCTAAGTTGGTGAAACTAAAGGAGAAAAAGAGCTTGAATCCTTGAAAATTTCATGGAGTTATGTCTGAATCACCTAAATTTGGACTTTATATAAGAAAATAACCCCTACGTTTTTGAGCTACTATTTCTAAGCAGGCAAAACTTAAGTATGCAGTTCTTTAAAAATTATTTAGTATTCAACAAACATCTGAGCATCTACTTTATATTGGCATTGAAGGACTGGGAAAATGACAAGGACACAGTGCCTGCTCTCAGGATATTTACTGATGAGGTGCTATTTAACTGCAGAGAACAGAGAATCCTATCACCCCCCCTCTTCCCTCCCTCCAAGCCTTCCTCCTCCTTTCCTTCCTTTCGTTTTCAAAAATTAAAGGACCTGATGTGGAGGGAAGACTCACTATGCTAGACCTGTGTTTAACATACATTCTCCCAATCCTCACACGCTTGAGGTTATTTCCATTTTTTTGCAGATGATGAAAAGGAGTCTCAAAAAGGATAAATAATTGGTCCAAACTAATAAATAGCAAGGCCATGATTCAAATCCAGGTATGACTGGTTACAAAGCCCAGATTCTTATCATCAATTTATCTTTGTATTTACAACAGTTTTTGCTCCATATATTTTAATCACATTGCTCTCTGGCACATAAAGTTTCTAATTTACTTGTCCTCATCATTAATTATAACATTTATCAACAAGAAACTATCCACTATGACATATAAAACTTTATATTGCATATTATTTTCTTAATATTATTATCCACTTATTACATTTTATTATCAAATCATTTAACCGTATATGATACATACGGGTGTACTACAGTAAATAAGAAATAAAGTCTGTCTTTAAGGTAATTAAAGAAACTAGTCACCAATACTGTACAAAATGAAAATCAACTAGAATATTTTCATTTATTGGATAATGATTATAAATCACTACAATACTGATTTTTAATCTATTTTGAGATATTTTATTTTTCGGTTTTCCCCCAGCTCTATGAAGGTATAAATGGCAAATAAATTTGATAAAATAATATATTTAAGTGATGATACACATCCATTGTAAAAGGATTCCACCCATCAAGTTAAGTAGCACAACCATCACCTCACATGCTGCTTTCCTTCCTATTTTTAGAGAGAACATTAAATTATACACTCTTAATAAAGTATTTCCATGATTTCACAGAAGAATATAAAGCTATGTATTTGCTACAATGCACATGCTTTTGGACTTACTGCTGTTTTGTTTCCTTGATTTTTTTTCTGCACTGTTTTTTTCCGTGTAGGTAATGGTTTATATATCCATACCCAGTTAGAAGACAGGCGTCCTGTTTTTAATTACAAGAATGGTTATCATGGAGTTCTTTTCACAAGCACCCACAAAAAAACTTATTTATCTAATCAAAACAAATAAACAAAGACATGCTAATGATGTTTTACAGATTCCAGCAATGTAGGGCCTCTACTTCCCTCAACACTCACTCTACTTCATTATTCAGCCTTTATTAATTTATTTAGGTTCCCAAACATAGTCATTACCTTGTATCTTTTTTTCCCCCTCTTTTAAGAACCTTTTTTGTCCTTTGTATTCTAGTTTGTTTCCATAGTTACAGGAATTATTAGCATCAGTTCTAGTGCTGGCCGTTGTATTTTTATTCACCTGACCTTAAAGTTCAAGCAAAGCTGAATAGATTCTCTGGGGACTCCTGCATTGGGTGGGAAGCTGGGATAAATTGCTTCTGTAATTCCTTCCACTGGAATGTCCTTAATAACTGTATACAATGAATATAAATTCTTCATACATACACCATGCTCATGTATGTCATATATGTCAGTAATACTAACAGCTAGCATGTTAGATGTATTACTTGGCCTGCTTATAAACTCTGTAGACCTGGAAAATGCTAACAACAACAGAAAAAGAAGCAACAGGAGGCTCTAGTGATATAGTTGTTTAAGCACAAGTTCTAAACTAGATCATCTCAGTTCAAACTTGGGACACAGTACTGTGTAACACTGGGTGAATCACTCAGCATCTCTGTGCTTCAGCCTTCTCATCTGTGAAATGAGAATAATAGATCAGAGTGTTGTCTATGCCTTTATGTGACAAGACACGTAAATCCCTTGCAAATGCTTTAATAGATTCTCTTCTATAACAAGGCTTTTTATCAGGCTTGTGATGGCCTGGACACAGTCCATCCTAGTAACCCAAGTTTATCTTTTTGCATTTTCCAGCACTAACTAGCCTATTTCATTCTCGATAAATTGTAAATGACCCTGATGAATGAAAAGAGAGATGGTCCTCATCTGCTCCCACCAAAGTCCTGCAGAAACCACTCAGAGAAAAGCATCCTAAGCCAGCCAAGGGCTCCCCTTCCGGGACCGGGATTATTTAACTGCAACCAAATTTCACTGGTATGTTGATCTGTCAAGAGTCAGACAATCCTTTTGATGTTCTAAGTGCTCTGCTGGAAAGAAAGGCATCTCTTTATCTCCAGAAAGGCAATTAGATATTCCAGTTTGTAAAATGGGCCCCAGAAAAGAAAAGCAATACCAGAAATGCAAACCAGAACCCAAGCCCCACCTGTGCATGATCACACACAGTCTCCCAAGGAAAGTATGGTACTAGGGCTGCTAAAATTCCAGCAGACCACTGCCCATCACTAGCCCTCGGCCATGTGCCGGTGCCCTAGAGCCAGCAATGATGGAAACACAGCAGCCTGCATCCTCAGAATATCTTATGGGAGCTGTTTAAAGGCGGAAGGCATTTCCTGAGTTCTATTGGGGTGTACTGAGACACATCACAGGTGCGATTAACACTGGCTATATCTGTAGCTCCTCCTTATGCCAACAACATCCTTAATACTTGGTGACATCAGAGTGTGAAGGGCAGGTTACACACACACAAACAAATGCACATGGGCCATGAAGATGGCTTTACATTCCTAGACTGTGTAAGCTGGTCTCTGTTCACCTGAGTACAAATAAGTAGGTTTTAAGGCATAGTGTGTGTTGGGAGGGAAAGTGGTAAGGCTGGCAACATTTATATATGCAACATTTAGGTATATTTGTTCCATTAGAGGTGCTGAAAGAGAGCGAGCATGAGGCCTCTGAGCAGGTTCTATTCCTTAGCCTCTTATGACTCTGGAAAGGAGCTGGAGAATTCATTTTGATTTCTTCCACTACAAAAGATATCCATGAATCCTCATGCCCAAGCTTGTGAATGTGATGGGGAAGAAGAAAGCCTAAGATCTCCTGAAGTCATCACTTTTCTACAAGAGATAGAGAATTTGCTCTACTCTTAAGAAAGGTCAAGTCTGAATGGTCCACATTGGTGGCTTCCAGCATGAGAGAGAAAGGACTGATAGCAAGAGATGAAAGCAGGGGTATCATCAGGGACCCTGCCTTCCTCTTGGTCTCTGGACCTAGACCTGTTTGCATCTTTTGGCAGGTCCAGCCGGACTATACAAGCCAGTTTAGATCCCAGCCCTATCCCAGCCCCCATCTTTGCTTTCATTTTGGAGGAAAAGGTGGGGGGCAATGTCCCCTTTCCAGTTGGGGCTTTTGTATAGTTTTCACAATAACCCAGCTGATATTTTGATCCCTATTAGGCAATGGTTCATCATAACTATCTTTTTTCAAATTGATTTCTGGAGAAGAGGCTCAGTCAGACATGGAACAGGAATGTTAATAGTGCAGTGAAATAAAGCTGCTTTGCATGTGTCCTTGCTCATTTGCGTTCCATTGTTTGCTTTGGGTATTTGTATTCCACATGTGAGAGAAGCCATCCAGTAATTGTCTTTTGCTTTCTAACTTACGTCACTAGTATTATCACCTCCATTTCATCCATGTTGTCACAAAGGTGAGATTTCACCTTTGAGAATAGCTGAGCAGTATTCTGTTGAGTGAATATTCCACAACTTCTTATCCAGCCCGCCAGGCCATTGATGGCCATCAACGTAACCCAGCGCTTTCTCTACTATGTACGGCTGTTCTTTTTTTTTTTAAGATTTTTTTTTAAAGATTTATTTATACATGTAAGAATTGGGGTACAGGCCAGAGTTGTGGGGGTAAGAGGATTCACCAGAGATAGAGTGGGGAACAGAACAGGTGGATTGACTGAAATCTACTGCGGAGGGAAGCAGCAGGCAAATCAGGAGAGGTCTGCTGTGCCATGTGGGTAGCTCCCTGGCTGGGGATCGAACTCATGCTGCAGTGGCTGCTGCGAGCTTCATAGGTTGCATCTTAACCCTTTGTGCCACGAGGGAGGCCCTACGTGTGGCAATTCTTCCTACCAGCAGTGGGCCACTACATTTTATGTGCAATGTTTCCACACATTCCAGCTCTTTTTCTGTTTTGAAATTCACCTCTTCCTACAGCTCATGTCTATTTCAATATCTGACTATGTAGTAATAACACTTGTGATGCTTTTTCCTATTAATCCTATTTTTCCAGGTGGTTTTTTGTCCCCACAAACACCGATCTTGGTGAAGAGATTGACACAGAGAGACAAGAAAACATGATTCACTTCACGGACAGTGAGATCAGTGTGGATACTTTCTATAACACCCTACTCACTCCCTCCATCCACCCCTGACTTCATGAAACGAGGCCTGCCCAATAGGGGGGCATCTTTTTGCCTGACTTCAAGTGCTTTTTGAAAATTTCACCTTAAAACAATTTACCTTTCAATACTAAAATGGAAAATATGAATCCTGTGTGTAAGACATACCTCTGAAAATACTCTTCACCATGGAGCCTTTTTCTTTCTGATACGAATAGTTACCTATATTTTAATTTAGACAGAGAATGGGAAACACAGGCAGAAAGTGTGGAGTAGTGATCTTGGACTCTTAAGGAAAAATCACTTTGGACCCTCTATATTCAGATTGTTTGCTCAATGGAACAAGGAAAGAATCAGTATGTAAGGAGGGTGGGCAGATTTTACAGCTGCATGCCATTGCATTTTGGCTGGAGCCAGCAGCCCAATATCCCCAAGAAAGGAAACTGTTCTGTCCCAGTGGGAGGTGAACAAGGTTTTGGGAAAAGAGAAAGGTCCAGGGACCCAGTCAAAAATTAGAAGCTCAGAATCTGGAGAATGAGATAAAAGAAGATCAGAATTTATGGAACTGAAGGGTGCTGTTCTCTTTTAGTTTCTGTGGCTCCTGTGATCTGAGGAATGGAGAAACAATTATTCTTCAGGAAAATGTACCTGAAAATTTTGTATATTGGTTCAAAAGTAAAGGACAGATTTAGGTGAAAAATGTATTAAGAATTTCTATTCCATTAGACCACATGTGATGAAATGCTTTTGCTATGAAAGAAAATGCCATTAAGATTATGTAAATGCAGACGGATTGTGCCTACATTTCTACATTTCTTTCTAATCATCAATAAGTTTGGACTGAAGAAACCCTTAATTGGTTTGACTTCTTCCCAGTCAAGAACATTTTCAACCTGAGGGGCTGACTCGCAAACAATGGAAAAACATGCTTAAAACAAAATTAAACCATCTCTTCTTTTCTTTGATATGTAACCTCAGATGTACAGCCTTAATTTACATCAAGTTCTCAGAACATCTTACTAACAGAATCTAGCCCAACTTATAGAAGCTTCCAAAACAGGCCATTTTCCGGAGCACATTAGGTAACAATGTAACAACATGTGTTTTATGTCTCTCCTGTCTATCCAGAGTCCTTGGGGATGCCTACCAGATATGAGGCTGGGGACACATGTCTTTTAATATAAAGTAGCACAAAAGAGGTGGATAAATGAGTTCTGGCATCTCAATGGTCAACTATGCTGAAATGAGCAGGGTGCAAAATAGTGTGCACCTGCTACAGAGAGGAAAGAATACACTTTTTAAAAAAGATTTATTTATTTATGCATATAAGAACTGGGGTACAGGCCAGAGGTGAGGGGGTAAGAGGATTCACCAGAGACAGAGTGGGGAGCAGAACAGGCAGACTAACTGAAATACACTGCTGAGGGGAGCAGCGGGCGAGACAGGAGAGGTCTGCGCACCATGTGTGTCAGCTCCCTAGCTGGGGATCGAACTCATGCTACAGGGCTGACTATAGCTTGATAGCACTGTGTCTTTAACCCTTACACCACCAGGAAGGCCCAGGAGAGAATACATTTTACGTGGACACTCTGGGTCCAGAGCAGGAATGGAAGCTCTCTAGTCTCAACCAGTGATGAACAACATTCACTCAAGGCTGGGGTGGCCTGAACAGGAAGAAAAGAAAGGGGGAGAGGATGGAAAAAAGATGTTGTCACAGGAGGCATACTGGCAACACTTTTCATTAAAAGTACCCACAACTGTGCTGCTGTGGTGGTACCAACATCAGCCACAGAGCAGAGAGACCAGTCCCTGTTGTTATCCATCCACAGCCCCATAGAGCGGGTATGTGCAAAACAATAATAATATCTGTTAAAATTAACAAAGCACTAGGAAGGGATCTAAAGTAGAGATGTGAATGGACGTAGGCTAATATGCTGGAGAGCTTCTGGGAGGACCTATTAGAATGGGTCTTAAAAGAGTGATTTGGCCCATCTGTCAGAATGGGGCGGTACCTAGAAGAAGCCCAGGTAACTGTCATACAGAACTAACCCTCCAAAAGAAGTGCTCTGTACTTTATTCACTTGCAGAAATAATTTCTGAAGCCTATTCCAAGTGTCATGATTGGCTGAGGATACATGCAGAAGTGGGCACATCTGGTCCCTTCAGAAGTCCTCAGATCCACAGGGAATGAGCCATATCAACAAATAATTATGAGACAGCATGGCAAGCATGGTCAAATGAGTATAGTCAACGTCCATCATGACACTGCCGTGGGCCAAACACAGTGACTTTACGTCTGACTCATCTCACACTCCCAAACACTGTGTGCAGTAGCTACTATACTTATTCAGGTGACGACATGGAAAGGACAATAGTTTGCTCAAGAAAACACACTCTCTCAAGCTCACTGATATAAGAAAGAAGTGGGGCTGGGTTTTAAAGCCCCAGAGTTTCCCCCGACTCCCTCCAATTATGTTTATAGAGGTAGTTAGTTGATGTCATTATATTTGCTTTAGAGGTCAGAGTTCAAACCTCTACAAATGTTTGTTTTCACATCATGCCCACCAGCAAAACCCCAATAATCCTCCACCATGCTCTACTGACTTCCCCTCCCCGCTTCGGGTTGCCTCAGTTTTGTAGTCAGATGTCAAGGTCTGTTACCGGTTTGGTTTTTGTCTGACCTTTTGTTTTACTTCTCCATATTCCACATATAAGCGACACCCTCCAGCACTTGGCTTTCTTCTTCTGACTTATTTCACCTAGCATTATCCTCCCAATTTCCATCCATGTTGCCACAAATGGCAAAAGTTCATCTCTTTTTATAGTTGAGTAGTTTAAAGCATACATATATATCACATATATATGTCATCCATATCACATATATATCACATATACATATGTATATACAGGTATACATGTATGCATGTATATACATTTTTCTGATCCAATCGACTCCTCTGTCCTTGGGCACTTTGGTCGTTTCCAGAGCTTAGTTACTGTAGATAGGGCTGCAATGAACACAGGAGCGTATACTTCCCTTCAAATTAGTGGCTTTGTATTCTTTGGGTAGATAATTAGGAATGGAATTGTTGGATCATATGGTAGATCCACTTTCCCTCTTTTGAGAAGCCTTCAAGTTGTCTCCACATGGACTGGACCAGTCCATACTCCCACCAACAATGTACAGGGTTCTCTTTTCTCCACATTGTTGCCAACATTTGTTTCTGGCCTTTTTGACGGGTCATTCTCACAGGTGTTAGGTGGTATCTCATTGTGGTTTTCATTTGCATTTCCCCAATGATAAGCAACAGGAGCATTTTTTCATGTGTCCATTGAATCACGGCCATATTCTTTTTTTTTTTTTTTTAAATCTTTTTTTTTTTTTTTTTATAGAGGCATGTTTTATTTATTTATTTGTTTGTTTGTTCGTTCGTTTTGTTTATACATGCACTGGGTACAGTCAGAAGCGCGGGAGGGTGAGAGAATTCACCAGAGCCAGAGCGGGGAGCAGAGCAGGCAGAAGGACCGAAGTACACTGCTGAGGGGAGCAGCGGGCGGCAGGAGAGGTCTGCGCGCCATGTGGGACCCTCCTCCGGTGGCCGGGGAGCAGCCGGGGATCGAACCGGCGCCGCAGAGGTCGCCGGCAGCTTTGCAACCCAGCGCTCAACCGCTGCGCCACCGGGGAGGCCCACGGCCATATTCTTTTAACCACAATTTGTTGTGCAGCAGCCATTAGTATTTTTGGGAAACATGCTATCAGTGATTCTAGTCAGAGGGAACATCTGTTTGTTCTAATCCTGTTTTCCTAGCAAGCAGTATGCCAGGTAAAAGGATGAAGCTACCAACCCAATGGGAGACCTTGGAAGACTTGATGAAAGTAGACAGAACTGATTTGGAACCAACAGCAGGATGTGATTAGTTGTGAAAGAATATTCCAGGTGGTGGGACTAACTGGAGCCAAGTTACAGAGGCATTTTCTAGCACATCTGGCGAAGGCACGGGCAGGTCGCTGGTGTGGCTGCAGAGGGGGGTCTGCACTGGACTTAGTCCTGCAGAATCCCATGGTTGTGCCCTGGATGGACAGGGATGTCACACTCTGAGCCTGGGGGAATCCTCAAACTCTTTTAAGAAGGAAAATGGCATCATGAGATTTGCATTTCAGACAGATCTCCCCAGCAGTCAGGTGAAATATGGAGTGGAAGGGAGGCAGTAATTGGATTCACAGATATTTAGGCAGTGGAACTGACAGGGCACAGTGGGTGAGAGAAAGGAGTGTGGGACAAACTCAGGGCTTCAAGGTTGGGAGTTGGTGGTGGATTATGGAAACTGAAGAACAGCAGGTCTCTAGGGGTAAATGATCCGGTCAGTCCGGGCATGCAGAGTATGAAAGGCCTTTGTCACATTGAGAGCCACTATCCATAAGGCAGCTCAGAGATAATTCTGGAACTCCAGGGAGAACTTTTGTCATCTTGCATTTGTCTAAAACTCAAAGGAAAAAAAAAAAATAACAAGAACAGGAAGTGGCAGGTAAATTCGTCACTCTTAGTTTGTCTTCTGTGCATTTGGGGAAGGGAGAAGGGGATTGTTTGTGTGGGCTTTCTTGCTTCTCCTCTTCCTCTGGCAGCTGGAAGTTCCTGGGAAAAAGGGGTTGCAGGCCGTTCATCTGAGTGACACCCGTTCTGCCATGGGCTAACCATATCCTGGGCTCCCAGCTCCAGGCAGGAGAACACGTGGCCTCCACGCTGTGGTGAAGGCCTGCAGCCAGTCAACATCAAAGCTCAGAGCGCTCATATTGTTCTTATGAAAACCACACTTTCTGCTTTTCATGTGGCCACCTCTATTGTTGGTAGGAACACTGTGGAGTGTTGCAAGGAGAGGCTGGCAGTGAGTACAAGCCAGGATGCACTCAATTAAAGAGGAGGGAGGGGGAGGAAGGGAGGGAAGCTGAAGTCAGCCTGTGTCCCAAGAAAGGCTACAGCTGCAGGGGCCACACGGCAAGGGAAAGCACAGTAACTCCCACTGAGGGTCTCCTGGTCAGGAGGAATGAGCAGAGCACCTGGGATTAAAAAACCTCCATTCCAGTCTCACTGTGCCATAAACCGCCCAGAGCACCTGGACTCAAGGATGCCCTGTCTCTTCTCAGGTGTAATGTAATGACACATGAGGGATAGCACCAGAGGCCATCTTAGAACCTTCTGGTTGTCTGACAAAGATACTCCACACTACTCCCAGGACAGGCTCTTCATGCTGCCTGCCATCTTCTGTCTCCTTAGTGGGAAGGACAAGGACTCCTGATCTCCTGAGGGGTGAGAAGAGACAGGGAGGGTGTCAGGGCCATGTCTGCACATTCTCAGAAGCAGAGAGGGGGCCAGGTGACTGCCTCCTTTGAAACTACCAATATGCTATGAAATCAAGAAACACCAAAGCAGGATTTCCAAAACTCTCATCTCCTTTCAAATGTTCACATCCCACAAGCTGTGTTTATTTACAGCCAAATAAACTTCACCTGGGAATAATATCTGGAGTTGCAATTTGAGGCCTTTTATGAATATGAGGTCCAGGATTCAATGGTGCCCACCTGCTCTTCACCTCCTTAGTCAGGTTATTTCCACACCTACAGGATTCTGGCACATTGTTGTCCCATG